ACCAGTAACTTGAATCATTAATAATTTTTGTTCCTTACATTTGATCTAAAAGTGGGATTGTTCTGGTCACGTCTTCCTTCGGAAGGGTAGTAAAACCGTTGGTCCCGGCCCATGTGTGTTGATGAATGGGTGCGATATCCTACGCAGGTGTGGAAGCTGCCTTCCTGCACATTCGATCGCCGTTAATGGATGGCAATCGATGTCCGTCGGTGATTGGCACTAGATTGCGGAACAGAGACCGACGTTAAATAAAGGAAAGAAGACGAAGAAGAAGAAGATCTAAAAGTGGTCTTCAACAAAGTTATAGCTGAGAAAATTTTCATCAAGTTCAGTTATATTTTGACGTAGGACTACGTCTTTGATTTCTATATGGGGGTACACTTTGTGAAAACCGAAAATGGAACATGTAACAAATTAAGAAAGATTTTGAACGTTAATAACGCAGCTGCCCCTGGTCCAATTTCAATAATTTTATCACCAATCGATCAGAAATATGGCTACGCATCCGAATGTTCATGTTCAAAAAGAAACTATTGAAAAACTGTTTAATGTCCAGCATTGTCCAAAAGCGTCGAATTAACTAACAAATCCACCAATTACCTACATGCATATGCTGCTTCCCCAGCACAGTCGTCAGAGAGTAGTAAGTAGACGAAACAAGTCGATCCTCGGGCGCGTGCGAATAGGGAGGATGGAATTGCGTAATATTTTGCACACTCATTGCCATATTCAGCACCAAACACAAATTCTTCAAGATAACCACCATCCGTTGTCTGGCTCGCCGTGGCGGTGTCTGACGTATCTCCGGTTTGATTTACGAGGTGTGCGGAAGGTGTTCCTGAAAAATGAGATCCGCGATGCTGTCACCTACACTAAACACGCCAAGCGTAAGCGGCCATGGATGTCATCTACGTTTTGAAGTGACAGAGACGCACTCTGTTTGGTTTCGGAGGTTAAATCATCACCAACTTTGGCAACAAAACGGCTCTTTTCAGGGCCACCAAGCTTATTACAGTAAAGAGTAGGAATAGAATTCATCTGCCTGTTTGTCCATATTCAGAACCAACGATCACACAAAATGCTCATGTAATCAAACTGGAAGCAGGGGTACAAATTATTTTGATCAACCTTGATCAACTTTGAATCGCCACGGCCGGATATTTTCGATGGAAGAAGCAACAATCTAGCATCAAATTCGACGAAGACGGCAGGAAACATTTGTGAAGCCGACTTATTTACGAAAGAGAGTGTCGATGAAGAGAATCGATCAATGTAGATAGGACCTATTGAAAAATGACGCGAGATTTGTTTTCCGTACTGAGCTCCGATGCTACCGACGCCAGGGAGGCAGCTCCCACACCTGGACCCTACCAATCGACCCAACAAACTAAACCGGGGACCAACGGCTTTACTTCCCGAAGGAAGGCGTGATCAGAGATGTATGACTTAGAACATGCCGGTGGCGCCGACTGAGATTTAACCCAGGCCTGCTGGGTTGAGAGGTAATCACGCTAACCACCGGCGCCAATATCTTTCAAGGTGATATCACGGCAAATGAGATCAACCCAAATTTGAGTTTAGTTATCTCAGAAATAAGAAATAAAGTGCAGGATCTCAGCGATGAGTAAATTTGCCTCATGTTTTCCCAGGTTTTTCCAGGATTTTCCAGGGAAAAATTCCCGAATTTTAGAAAAGTAAAGATTGGATTCACTCAGTCTATTGGTACTACTCCGAGACTGAATAAAATGTTCGTCAATTTCCTCACTTTCTGGCAGGCTTTTCAGGTTTTCCACAGGAAACCATGAGACAAATTTACTTTCGGCGATTATGAGTGAACTAAACTCAAATTTGGGTCGTTCTCATTTTCCGTGTACGCAAAAAGAAAAGAGCCAGCGTCGCTACTTGATAGTAAACTACTCATAATGGGAGGAGTATTTGTAGCTTTTATACCACTTGGTTGCACATCATTCTGCTTTAACCTGAAAAGATATAAAAGAGCGCTGCTGTATGACATTAGCTCATTTTCGCTTCGGACGGCGTGGTGAACAGCAATAGCAGCAGTAGGAAGGTGGTTGCTAGTCCACTCCTTCACACCTAACAAGCAACAATTAATCATTTTGTTCAACCATTTTCCACAGAGATGGCGCTGTTCCGCTGGTAGAAAGTGATAAAAATCCCCATATAGAAATTGAGAGAAATGGGAATAATTCGCTTTCGGTGCATATTCAGGTGAAAGAAAGTGAACGACAACCTAAATAAATTAATCAGAGACTTTGTCGTTCAGTTTTTTCCCGAAAATTATGGTTAAACAAGCTACAATTAAATAAAAACGAATTTTCCCCATATAGTTTTACCTGTTTTACTTACCAGTTCTCAGAGAGCAAAAAAATTCAAATTTGAGAGAGAAAATTTGCTCTCACGACCTCAATCACTCAACATACTATGTATTTTGTTGACACTCGATTTGTGATTTTCCTTTCACAGATTTCAAAATAGAGTACCTGAAACTACAAAACATGTCTGGTACCTCTATATATGCATTTACTTTAACATTTGAAATCCCTCCTTTTTTTTACATATTCTGCGCAAAAGATACTTTATGTCCCACCCCATGCATAAAATTCGGCGGGAAATTCTTCGCCTACTTGAGAAGAGAAACGTCATTTTTCACCTGCTTGGAGAAATAGAAGAGAATGTGAGAAGCGAGAGAATATTACGCTCACAGTAGTTTTCGCGAGAAAAGCAACAGCGATTTATTTTTTTCGGAGAGCATGAGCGGCAGATAAATCGTTTCGTTTTCAGTGAATTCTTGATGCTGATAATGATTTTTCACTTCTTTCAAACACCAGAAAATTCACTCTCCGCACGCAAACGATGATCCGAAATTAAGAACCAAAACAACAGTTAGGGCACATCCATAAATTACGTAGAATCTGAGGAGCAATGGAGAGGGGGTTTCAACATTTGTAACGGACCATGCATAAGGTATAGAAAAAAACGCCACGAAGGGGGAGGAGAAGGTCTAAAATTGGTAAGAAAATTGAATCGTCATTTATGGATGACCCTTATGATTTGACAGAAGGTATTAAAAGGAAATAATTTAAAAATCTGCCGGACTGGTTGAAACCAATGAAATGCAAACAGGTGAGGATATGTGAAACCGTTGTCCCTTTCGTTCTGCCGCTGTTTAAATTGATAACACAGTATGATGTCACACTCCGTCAACCATTTAATAAGCGAAAGAACAAAAGAGACGGCGAATTCCCAAGCCTCAACTGTTTATATCACATTGGGTTGGAGCCGAACAATTTGGGGTGGTATTTTTTTCGCTCTTGGTAGTTTTCAGAGCCAAATGGGGTGATGAAAAAGTATTTTCGTGGGGTTTTGAAGAGAGATATTTTCAGATTATGTATGAGAGAGGATAATGAATTATCCGTGAAAAAGGAGAGATGAAAATGTGAACGGTTCACAACTCACCGAAAAGTAGCTTGAGTGAGGAAATGCTTATCATGCAGCTGAGTGAGAATTTCTATCTCTGGTTCCAATTCTACCGGGAGAGTCACTTGATTGGAAGAATTTACACTCGTTCAGGAAACAGTTTGTAGGTGAGGATAGTTATTTTGTTTCTGTGATGCTCGCGCGAGTAAATAAATTTTCCCATGTTTGGAAGTTCAGGGATTTTTTTAGATTAAAAAAAATCCATGGCCTACAAGAAAGTATGCTTCAAAAACTTCAGGTAAATTACGAGAGCATATCAGCATTTACCGAAGAATTCTAAGGCAGTTCAATTAACATCAGGAAAAGAGCTGAAACCTTTTAAAAGTCTGAGAAATTCTGGGATGTATAGAGAATTTTATTGAAGATTAGAGATCTTTAGAACACTTCCATTAACTTCAGATTTAGATTTACAGGGAATTTAAAAAAAATCTAGGGTGTACATATTTTTTTCTTTTGCTGATTACAGTTTTATCATCGTCAACGTTTCAATCCAGGGAGTTAGATCTTCATCAGGACTAGTTTTAGGTAAATAACGTATTTTTTTGCGCTGCCAAGTTCGACGACCAAAGCGTCTGACATAAAGCATCGCAGCATTTATATTAGTGTTTTAAAAGTTTTATGGTGAGCTGATTGCAGACAAGTTTTACTCGCACCCTAGTTTCCTAGGCTAAAGGGAAGTAAATTGTGTGTAAAATGCAAAATTTCAATTGTAGTCGCTCCTTAAAGGGGGCGCATGGATGTGAGATGGTCGGCCGCACATATGATCAATTCTGAAAAATTACTTTAAAATGAGAACGTTTAGAGATAGGAAAAATGTTTTCTCAACTAAATGCTTGAAATTAACTTTGCTATAACAATTTTCAAAAATAATGAAGCTCGTTTTTGAATATCAATTAATTTGAGGATGTTTACAACCACCAAAACAAGGATCTTTTAAACTACAAAAACTTCACGTCTGAAATTTAAAACAAAAGTTCTATGACTGCTTTCCTGCTAAATTCCCGTCATGTATGATGTGCATCATGTATCAACTATGTAATCTATAAAAAAAATACTTGTAAAGCCCATGGCAAACCCACTCGTGCAATTTCAAAATAGACACACTTGACAATTGTACCTCCACTGTATCTGTTTGCCTAGTTTAAAACTTTAATCCAGATCTACCCCCCATCACCGCTCGCAGCGTACCAATCGAGATTAGAACTGAGACATTCTTACACCTAGATTGTTCAATTGGCATTATTTATGCGATGCCACTTACTACATAGTTAGCAAAAGCCAATAGCTACTAAGTGCAGAAAGAGACGGAACTACCGATACTTATTATCGATACAGATAAAGTCAACGGCGGCGCGATCCTCGTGCAGTGCATTGTGTTTGAGTACTCATAGTCGGTGCGGAGTCCCGACCCCCCGTGGCACGTATTGGAGGAAACGGAGGGGGGCCCATATCAGGTCCCTGCTGGCTGGAAGCGAGTGTACAAGTTTTGATATGGTCAGCGATTGACAAAATTTGCGCTCAGTCGTTCGCGGAACCTTGTCGTGTGCGGTACGGTCGAATTCCTTTCCGGTGTTGACGAGTAGAACCCGCGAACTACTCGTGTGGACAGGCGGTCTTGTTCCTTTTCTTATTAAGGTGATTGCTTGGAAGAATATTGGGCGCTATCTGGATTTATGAGCTGTACTTACATTAATTAACCATCAGTTAAATTTTGAAAACAACTGAATGAATAAAACATTGTAATTCCAGTTCTAACCGAAAATCGTAAAACGTCATACCGGATGTTCGTTTGATTGATTTTTGATAAACAACCATTCCAGTAAACTGATTCAATTTTGCTTTGCTGTTGTTTTCACATCCATTCGGTAGACCTTAGGTGATACAGAAATAAACTTTATTATGATTAATTTCTCATTTTTTTTTAAATTGCAAACAGTTTATGTTCCAAAACGTCAAAAACTGCCATGATAAACCAATCAAAAGTGATAATGAATTTGTAAAACTTCATTATATTGATGGACAGCTCCATCAACAAGGTGTTAATTAGTGTTAAAATCCCTTGCATCTCTCTTGCAGACGTACGGAAAACTTGGTGGCATAAGCGGTTAGTAGAAAGTCCCTACAAAAATGGCTGAAGATAAAGTGAAACCAAATCCCGATCCTGTGGCACCGCAGTTCGATGCCAGTGATTTCAATTCCACGTGAGTACACATTTTAAGAAGTTTTTAGAAAATTTGTCATGTTTTGTGTATAATCAGGATTCTTGCCACTTGCTTAGCAAAAATCTGTTCAAGCAAAATTTCCCAATCCTCAACCGCTGTTGAATCATATAAATACAATCAGATTGTGCCCTTTGAACTCGAGTTTATTTTTGCTAGTAAAGTTCAAGTATTCATTTCTGCTCATTCATTACATTGAGATTAATCAGAAGCTGGTCGCTCGCCTTTTCGCGAGTTTTTACACTACACCGTATGAAAAATCCATGTAAATTTCTGCGAGATATTGCGCACATAAAATTAATGCTACATTTGGCATAAATTTACGCGATATTTTTTGTAAATTTTACCGCAATATCGCATAAATTAGCAATATTGTATGCAAGCTTGTAAACGATTCCGCTGTTTATGTCAAGTATAGCTCAAAATTAAACGAAGGGAGATTTTACGCGATAGTTAAATTTCAGATTTTTTTCTGTGTAGATGCATGCCAGGGTCCTTGATTAAGAGGCCTTCTACACTCTCACGGTAAAAATCAAACTGTAAAGCTCCTGAGCTTGAGTCAAAACCGAATTAAAGTTCAGCGGGGTGGAAAGAAGAATGGGAAATTCCAAACAAATAATCAGTTGAAATATTATCTTTTTGCTTGACAAACGTCGAACAAAGCTCGGTAGCCCTCTGTGATAAGATTGAATTGATGTCATTAAAGAACAGGAATCCTACGAATAGCTCGGTGGGTGGTGCCGACCACCCACCGCAATTTCTGTCTTCCATCCAATTGAGCTGATTTGTTGTGTGTGATTAGGGACAACCATAAGCTTGTCACCTTCTTTTCGGGGGATTCTTTATTCAAAACATTCATGGAATTTGTCATAAGTGCACCGATTGATTAGGGTTCATGCACTGATTAAAATTTGAGTTCAGAATATTTTTTTTAATTAGAGGACGAAATGAGCCGACGGGTCTCAGAATTTCATAAAATTTTTCCAGTAGAGTTTATGGTTGAATGATCGAGAAGGAAAATCAGGGTGGCTAATTTTCCCCTGAAAATTTAAGTTAAAGTTTTCGGATTTTCACGGACATCACTTACGTTAAAAATTCATAACTCGTAGAACAAACGATGTGTAGAGAAATGATAAGGAAATTATCTCAGTGGTCCATAAAAATATAATCTGAAAAATGTTTTGCACGAAAATGTTCATGGTGGTGGAAAATCACAATCGCAATCCAGTCTAATTTTCGTCAGTGCACCAACACAAATTCTGAATCGTCCATACTATAAATACTTAGAAGAAGAGATAAGCAAATTCTTATCCTTACTAGATCGTATTTGAGAGTATTGTAATCAAATGGAATTTCAAACACCCTTATTTTTCATGTGTTTCACAGATTCAACTAGTTTTAGGATCAAAAATAAAATTCAAACTATATTGATGAATTGATCTTTAGTAGTTAATTAATGGCACCAAGAAATGTGCAAAATATTGCGATGCACTCAATTATTATTTTGCATGTATAATGAATCGAAAAGAAAAGTCCTGTGAAATGCTAGCTTCTAGCAAGGGTTGCAAGATGATTTAAATACAAATTCCTGCTGCCGAATTGTATTTTGTTTTCTCGGCCCATCCCTCCCTCTGAGTATTTCTAGTTCATACCACTCGTACTTCTTCTTATTCTTCTTTCCTTCCTCTTTTTATGTTTCTACTTCTTCTTCGTATTTCAAGCTAAACAATTAGCTAATCGCATATTGGCTTATTGCGTGCTTAATGCTCTAAATTCACTTCCACAGTTATTAATTGAGAGCTTTCGATGCAGGTCTGTGCCATTTTTTCATAAGTATAATTGTGTGGGCAAATACCGGGAATCGAACCCAGCCACCCCCAGCATGTCTTGCTTTGAAACTGTACCTTTTCCGACTGAGCTAAGAGAGGCCCCACTTGGCGCAACTGAAAACGAAAACCTAATTTGAGCCAGAAGCACCAACTGAAAGATAGGGGAAATGGATGTAATGTCGGCCTAAATGCCTCTTATTTGGGTCCACACATAAATTCAGCATCGACTAAATTTTCAATAGCAACCAAAAATATCAATTAGTACCGTCCCAATTCGCGTTCATCTAGACAAAAATTGATAAATTGCAGATTTTTAGCGATGGGCCCTATCTTAGATCCATAGGCCAACATTAGAGCCATTTTCCTTATTTTGAAAATACAGGTCAGACTCGATTATCCTGGGCTCGATTAGCCGGAGCCATAATTTTTTTGTAGCATTGAATTAGATTAAGTAGAAATAAGAAGCATAGGGTAAATGCAACAACCATTGATGCATTTTATGGTGATACTATAAGGATGCCTTTACATGAAACTTCAAAGGCATAAACGTCAGCTTCCACAATAAAGGGTGTATTCGATAAAAATGGCACACACATATTTACTCACCAAAATTAAACCGGATTTTCTTGAAAATTTAAGGAAATGAAAAACTATCAATGAGTTATGATTTACAAAATTTGTTTTATTCGATTTCGTCTCCCATCCCCAATGCTCGCACCTTCCTTCACACTCAACCCATCAAATTTTGTACGAGCGATTTTCCCAGTGTTTTTGTTTTTTTAACGAAATTGTCTTCAACTCCAGCTCTGTTTTTAAAGTTTGCCTGTTCATAATTGCCCAGAATTTTTCAATTAGGCAAAGTTCCTGTGAATTTGGTGGGTTCATATCTTTTGGCACAACATTGACTCCGTTGGCTCGGTACCACTCCAACACGTTTTGAGCGTAGTGGCTGGATTCTAATTCAGGCCAAAACAGAGTTGATCCTTTGTGCTTCCGTATGAATGCCAAGAGACGCTTCTTTAGGCACTCTTCCGTTTAAGTCGTACCGCTGATTGTTCCGGAAGTGATGAAGGGAGCGCTCTCGGGAGCGCCTATTTCACCGCATCCGTAAATATCCTACCAGATCAGGAACTTCTTTGCAAATTTCGATAATTTCTTCTTTCGAATATCCTCCGGAACATCGAACTTAGACTTAGCAACGAAATATTCTTGCCCAGGAGATTGACGAAATTCGGCCTTGACGTAAGTTTCGTCATCCATCACGGTGCAACACGATTTGGTGAGCAGCTTCGTGTAAAGTTTCCAGGCGCGGGTTTCAGCAGTGATGCTTTGCCTTTCATTCCGGTTTGGGGCTTTTTGCACCTTGTAAACATGTAACCCAGCCGATAAAAGCCGAATACAAAGAACCGGTGGAATTAATGTAATTAAAGCAGTAGTTAATGGAAATAATTAGGTAAAAAATTCACGGCCTAATTATGAAACTTGAGACATGTAAATAATACACTATGAATAAGATTTACTCAAATTTTCAGGTTTTTTTAATCATACGGTTCAAAAGTTACAGAAGATTTTCGGTGTGCCATTTTTATCGAATACACCCTTTACATACAATAATGAAACGACTACTCTATGTTAATTGTAGCGCAGCAACCAAGAAATAGCAATTTCATATGTGTATGTTTTGCGGTAGCTGACATTTGTGGTTTTGAAGTTACACGCTAAGGCTTACTTAGAGTATAACCTTAACCCTTTTAAACCAATATAGAAAGGTAAGATGACGAAAGCATCCTGAGGTGACCATACCATACCATCCTAAGCTGTGTTGCATAGTTGAAGATTTTCTGAACAAAACAAGATCAACCAGAAGCCTAGCAAACATAAACCTTTGATCACTTGATGGTTTTTGGAATATTTTCGGAGCCTCATGAGATAATGAGATGCGAGAGATGTGATTTGAATTAATTAACAGATTGAGATATTCAGTACAATAGTACCTGATCAACCTGATGTTTTGGAAAGCGTGACTGCCTCTCACTCCAAAGGGCCTAAGTTTGAGATTCTCTTTGGGAGTCCCTTGAAAATTTCTGTATAATAGTCCAGAAAAACTCTGCATATCAATCCAAAAAAGCATAAAATTAATTCTTAGATCTTTTTCGATTTTTTTTTTTGAAATTCATTAAAGCTTCTTTCCATAATTCTATTCAGAAATCACTATATAATATATATAATATCTTCATTCAAAGCGATTTTCAGAGTTGGTTGGAAATGCTAACATGAAGCTTTAGTGTGATAATTTATTAGATAGAGAATGATCTTCAGAAGAGGGTAGGTGGTTAGTTCCGTTAGAATACGGCAGTATGAAAATTGAATAGAAGTTGAAAATGAGCGAAGGGCCATTAATGCGACAGTTTTTAAAGATAGACGCACATCTTTTGCCTAACCCGTACGATGTACGCGGAGACTTGAAGTATGTCTCCAAGTCTACAGGCAAAAAATGTGCGTCTCTCTTTTGCTCATAAACTGACTGTGGCTGTGGAATAGTTCTAGCGACGTTTTCATCACTACCTAAAGCCCCACGTTGCGAGAGCATTTCCAGTAGATGGTGTGTTATAATGCAATTCTTCTTTACCCAACTATTGTGTTGCTCCTAGGGTAGGGTGGTTGTTGCGTTCTGTACCATCATCAGCATTGTTGACGGTTACTCCCGCCTTGAGTTGTTACATTCCACCTACCCTCTTCTAAATATCATTCTCTAGCTAATAAATTATCACACTAAAGCTTCATGTTAGCATTTCCAACCGACTTAAATTCTCTTTAGAATTGCCAGGAAATTCTCATCATAATTGTCTTAAAATTGTTGTTCAGAAACTTGGAGTACTCCTCTAGATTCATCTGGAATTTTTCTGGGATTTTTTTTTTTATATTCTTCAGAAATTATCTTCGATATGCCCTTGGAATTATCCTCGGAATTCCCTTAAAATTATTCTCAGGATTCCGATGACTTCGAATTCCCGGCTTCTTCTCCGGTTTCCCGATTTATCGGTTCACTGGTCACTCTGATTTATGAATGAACTTTGACAGCAGACAGTAACCTTACGACTCACAGTGGTCCAGATCTGTAAAAACCCGGTCAAAAGTGATTATCTCACGAAC